TTCTTTAGTTCTTTTGTTAACCTTGTATAAAATCAATTGACTGTAAATGTGCAGGTTTAATTTTAGATTATCAATTCTTTGTTTATGTCTATTCTTATGCCAGAGACAAATCAAATTTAATGAGAAGGTTTCTTTCAGTCATATCTTATGTCATAATAAAAATGTAGTGGAATGTCTTTTTTTTTTTTTAATTTTTTATTGGATTTTAGGTTTTGGGGTACATGAGCAGAGCATGTAAGACAGTTGCGTAGGAACACACATGGCAGTGTGCTTTTCTTTCCTTCTCCCCTTCACCCACATTTGGCATTTCTCCCCAGGCTATCCCTCCCCACCTCCCCCTCCCACTGGCCCTCCCCTTTTCCCCCCAATAGACCCCAGTGTTTAGTACTCCCCTTTCTGTGTCCATGTGTTCTCATTTTTCATCACCCACCTATGAGTGAGAATATGCGGTGTTTCATTTTCTGTTCTGGTGTCAGTTTGCTGAGGATGACGTTCTCCAGATTCATCCATGTCCCTACAAACGACACAAACTCATCATTTCTGATTGCTGCATAATATTCCATGGTGTATATGTGCCACATTTTTCCAATGCAGTCTATTATCAGTGGGCATTTTGGTTGATTCCAGGTCTTTGCTATTGTAAACAGTGCTGCAATGAACATTCGTGTACATGTGTCCTTATAGTAGAACAATTTATAGTCTTTTGGATATATACCCAGTAATGGGATTGCTGGGTCAAATGGAATTTCTATTTCTAAGGCCTTGAGGAATCGCCACACTGTCTTCCACAATGTAGTGGAATGTCTTTAACTTCACCTTTTGTGTCGCAAAGGAGTCTGTGGCCAGATTATACCTTACACTAAGACATGGTGGGAAGTCAGGCTCACAAGACACAGTTTATTTTGTTTTTTTCTCCATTTAAAGGTTTAGTTTTTCTCCACTTAAACCTTTAGTATCAGAGACAAATAGCAGATTTGTATTTTGAATTTCAAAATTTCAGAGTCAAGTTGTGTGCTATAGAGAAACATTGTGGTATAACATAGAGATGAGATGGTCCTTACTTCTCCACACAAAGAAGCTTGAAGTAAGGCAAAGAAGAAATTGCATTTGATTTCTTAACACTGAAAGCACACTGTAAAGATTACAAATAATTCCATAATGTTATTTCCTCATTGAAAAAAGAAAAATGAGAATTGAATGCTAGGCTGATTAATAAATACTCTGAGTCCCTTCTTGTAGAATTTTAGTTAATTGAAATCAGGTAACTGTCTGATTTTGGTTATGTAACCAAATATTTCTAGTTGTTTTTCAGAGCATACGTCTTCTTGCTTCCCAGTCTTATTTCCTAACCTGAGGGGAAATTCTAAGGAGACGTTCTGGCCTTGTGATCAGAGTTCATAATTGAAGGAGGTTGTAGGAAAAGTTCCTCCTCAGCATCTTCTGTGTCTTTCCTGGTTAGCTGCTGCTTCTCAATAATGTTTGTCATCAATAAATTAATCTCAACCTTTATTAGATCCTACTTGAAAGGAGACTCCTTTCTGCTGCATAAGTTATGTTTCCTGTTGTCTCTTTTTAAAACTTATTTTTCTAACAATTACCCAGAGTTGAGTGGCTTAAAAGAAAAGCATTAATTTTGTTCATGAATCTCTGGTTTGGAAAAAGCTTAGCCCAGACAGCTTGTCTCTGCTCCTCTCAGCTTCCCCAGGAACAGGTGATCAGTTGGGGGAATGGAATCATCTGAAGCTTTGCTCACCCACGTGTTCGATGGTTGATGCTGGCCATTGGCTGGAACCTTGGTTGGGGCAGGCAGCATGAACACTGACACTGGAACTCCCAGGCTCTCTTTGTGGCCTGAGCTCTCTCACAGTCTGGGTGCTGAGTTCGAAGGGAAAGCAGCCTGAGATAGAGAAGCTACATGGTGTTTTTTTTTTTTTTTTTTTTAAACTGCATTCTGGTCATTAGAAGGAAGTCAGTAAAATTGACCTGTATTATGTTTTATTAATGGAATGAATATGGCTTCTCTTTTGTTTTAATTGACATGTGCATACATAATTATGGGCTATAGAGTGATATTTTGATACGCACATATAGTTTGTAATAATCAAGCTAACTAGCATATTTACTACTTCAACCATTTTTTATTTTTTTGAGCTGTGAACATTTAAATTCTTCTAGCTTTTTAAAAATATATATATAATAAATTATAGTTAACTATATTCATCCTGCAATGCCACAGAATATCAGAACTCATTCCTCTTATCTGACTGTGATTCTGTCTCCAGTAACCAACTTCCCCTCCCCTACTTCTGTGAGATTTTTTGTTGTTGTTAAGAGACAGGGTCTTGCTAGTGTAGTCTGGGCTCTGGGCAACTGTATTCACTCAGACTAGAGACAGACAGTGGTTTGATTATAGCTCACTGCAGCCTCAAACTCTTGGGCCCATATGATCCTCCCACCTCAGCCTCCTGAACAGCTAATGTTATGGGCGTGCACCATTGCATCTGTCTGATTTTTTGCTTTGTAGAGATGTCCCCCTATGTTGCTGAAGCTGGTCGGGAACTTTTGGGCTCAGTTGATTCTCCTGCCTTTTTCTTTCAAAGTGCTAGAAAATTACAGGCATTGGCTGTGTTTCCCAGCCCTCAGTTTTTCCGTAGCTCCCACTCATAAGAATGTGCAGTATTTATCTTTCTGTGTTCGCACTTAACATCCTCTAGAGTGATCCACGTGGCCACATTTCATTTCTTTATATGCTGAATAATATTCCATTGTGTATGTGTCCCACAGTTTTTTGACCATTTATTGATGGACATGTAGGTTGATTCCATACATTAGCGGTTGTGACTAGTGCTCTAATAAACATACGAGTACAGGTATCCTTTTGACTTCTTGTTTTCTATCACCTGAACACCCAGTAGTGGGGTTGCTGGATCCCTCAGCAGGTCCATTATTAGATTGTTGAGAAAACCTCATGTTGTTTTCTATAATGTCTGTAGTAATTTACCTTCCCACCAACAGCATTTGTTATTTTTTGTCTTTTCAGTGATAGCCATTTATTCGAACTGGAGCAAGATTATATCACATTGTAGGTTTGATTTGTAGTTCCCTGGAGGTTAGTGTTATGGAGCATTTTAAAATGTATTTATTGGCCATTTTTATTTCTTCTTTAAAAAAAAATAGAAATGTATAATCAGATCTTTTGCCCTGAACTCAGATTATTTTTTTACTGTCAGGGTGTTTGAGTTCCTTGTATATTTTGGATATTAGTCCCTTATTAGATGAATAGCTTGACAATATTTTCTTTTATTCTACTGGTTTTCTCTTCACTCAGTTGTTTGCTGGGCAGAAGCTCTTTAGCTTAATGTAGTACCACTTGCCTATCATTTGTTTTTTGCCTATGCTTCTGATGTCTTACCCATAAAAATCTTTGTGCAGATGAATGTCCTAAAGCATTTTCCCTATGTTTACTTGTAGTAGCTTGATAATTTTGGGCCTTGCATTAAGTCTTTAATCAATTCTGAGTTTATTTTGTTATTTGGTGTTAGATAGAAAGTTATATGAATATTTCGTTTTCCCAGTGCCATTCATTTGAAGAGGGCGTCCTTTCCTTAATGTATATTCTTGGCACCTTAGTCCAAAATCAGTTGGCTGTAAATATATGGATTTATTTTTGGGTATTGTATTCTATGGCCTTTACCCCGAGAATGATTAATTTTTAAAATGCAATTCAAATTAGCAGGAAACATTTGCAGTTTAGGGAAAGGCTTATGGCATCACAATCTTTATTTACAGGATTCATTATTTTGTGTGGGTTTTCTTTTTTTTTTTTTTGATATATGGTCTTTATCTGTCATCCAGGGAGAAGTGTAGTGATGTTGTCATAATTCACTGCAAACCTGAACTTTGGGTGCAAGCCATTCTTTTGCCTCAGTCTCTTAACAAGCTGGGTCTACAGGCATGAGCCATTATGCCTGGCTAATTTTTTATTTTACTTTGTAAAGATTGGGGATCTCACTATGTTGCTCTGGCTGATCTCAAATTTTTGACCTCAAGTGATCTTTCTGCCACAGCCTCCTAAAGTGCTGGGATTACAGGCATGAGCCACCATGCCTAGCATAGAGTATATTAATTTCAAAGTCTTATTCTGAGAGCCATTTATTGACTTTGGCCTAAATAACTCAATATGATATCTCTGAAACTTTTTTTTTTTGACAAATTATGGGGAATGATGATGAGGGAGGGGTGTTAGACACTTTTTTTTAGTAGAGATGAGGTTTTACCATATGGGTCAGGGTGGTCTGGAACTCCTGACCTCAGATGATCCTCCCACCTTGGCCTTTCAAAGTGCTGGGATTACAGGTGTGAGCCACCGTGCCCAGCTTATTATTTTATTTTATTTTTTGGAGATGGACTCTCACTCTGTTGCCGAAGTTGGAATGCAGAGGCGCAATCTTGGCTCACTGCAACCACCACCTCCTGGGTTCAAGTGATTCTTCTGCCTCAGCCTCCTGAATAGCTGGGACTACAGGCACACACCACCATGCCTGGCTAAATTTTTTGGATTTATTAGTAGAAATAGGGTGTCACCATGTTGGCCAGGCTGGTCTGGAACTCCTGAGCTCATGCAGTCTGCCCACTTCAGCCTCCCAAAATGCTGGGATTACAGGCTGAGTCATTGTTCCCAAGCAACACTTTTTACTAAGAGTTAACTTAGTGCCATTTAAGGAGAAACAAAAATAAATTATCAGAAAAATAAAAGTAAGATCAACTGCAAAAGTTCTGTGGCAAAGATGATGATAGTAAAGAATATTTTTTGTGACTCATGATAGCTTTAACTTTGTTCTTGAAATTCTGAGTAATTTAAGGGTTCACATTTGAAGAATCTACTATATTATAGATAATATTTTATTGCAAGTAATTGCATTTCTAAATTTGCTATTGGTTTTGTATTAAATCATTCTCAGACTACTTCATTATCAAGCTATATTATTTTATTCATGCAGCTTGATGATCTTACAGCAGAGGAGGAAGCTCTGTCTTCAAAATGTATCAATTTGGCTAAAGACAATCAAGTTATTCAACAGGAGTTATTATCTATGAAAAAAGTACAACAGAAACGTGAAAAACTTCAAGAGGATAAAAAGAAGTTGGAAGAAGAAATATTAAATCTTAAGACACATATGGAAAAAAATATGATAGAAGTTGGTAAAGTACAAGAATATAAATCGGAGCTGGAAGGAAGGGTAATGCAAGCAATAAAAAAATTAGAGGAAATTCATTTACAGGTTAGTTTTTAAAATCAGGTAAGTTTGTCTGTAATGTGCTTTCATTTATTTCACTGCAAATTATATTTGGATATGTATACATTGTGTTTCCTCTGCCTCTTTTATAGCAATTTGCTTTGTAAAGTTCTGGAAAAAATGGCATTTTTTTTTTTTTTTTTTAGATATTTAAATTCCCATTATTATTATAAAAAAATCAGTCTTCAGAGTGATGATTCTCACTATAGTCTTTTGATTCAAGACCAGTTGGCCTAAGTGAAAACTGTGATTTAGAAATGTTGTGATACTTTTGAATTGGTCTTAAGCTACATTGTTCATTGTTGTGTTTTTAAAATTATAAATGGATTCTATTACTCTTTATATGACCAAATTACATTAATACTAACATAATAATGATTTCAAATTTTTATGAATCAGACTTAATTCTGGATTCAATTATTAGTTTCATTGATATTTCTGATAAACATTTTAAGCTGCAGCCTCTTTTTTTAATGTCTTCAAAATTGCTCTTTGAATCACTGACTCAAAATGAAAAGCGACAAATATATGGTAATTAAGTTATAATTGTTTTAAAAGTATATTCATTTGTTTTAGAAACAAGCAGACTATGAAAAACAATTAGAGCAGTTAAACAAGGAGGATGATATGGAGATCATGATTAAAGATGCGGAATTTAAACTCTCTGAAATAAAAACTGCTTATGAAGAGGCTGCAACCGAATTAGAAAAATATAAGGAAGCCTTTGCAGCAGCATTAAAAGCTAACAATTCCATGTCAAAATTCATGAAGTAAGTCAAAAGATACACTCATAGAAGATGAATTAAGCTCATTAATTTGTTTTGAAAGCATAATTTTTAGTGAGATGGCTTCAGGAAATTAGTAGGAAGTGAATGCTAATTGGAAAATGTAATTTTGGAAAATAATGTTAGTAAATAATCTTACCTTTAAAATGTTAGTAAAAGATAATTTCCTTCCTTTTTTTTTGCTTTTATATGTCTTTTTTTCACAGAAAAGTCTCATAGAGTTAACTTGATCTATGAGTCACTAAGTATTTTTGAAGCTTTATAACTAATAAAGTGGTCTTGTCAAAAAACTACTTGTCAGAATTTCCTTAAATAGAAATATTGAGTTTAATTTTTGGTAGATGACAACCTAAACCCAAAGTGTAAATGTTGCTGCTTCTCTGGGCACATTCTGGCACTCAGGCATGGGACTGTTTTTGATCGTGATCTCTAGTATTATCACTAGAGGGTGCCTCAAGACAGACTATTTGTGTAACATTTTCAAGATGTTACAGAAAAGCATCCTTGTGAAATAGGGAATAGTTGTCACAGAAATGAAAAGAAGTGTAATTCACAAATTGGTTAAAAAAATAACACCTTGTTTAGCCAGAAGGGGTGTGGGGAAGGCAGAAAGAACAAACCGGCATGTCCAGGACCTTGGTCACAGTGTTAGGGGCTAATTGACTTCAGAGATGCTTTAGTTGTTTTTTATCAGCAACCCAGCCATCTAGTTCTCTCCTAGGAGTTGTTGCTCTGAATTATTCCTCAGTGCCAAATGTCTCATTGTTCCCAGATATTTGGTGAAATGTACAAGAGTGAAACCTGAAATTGGTTTACTAAACACAAGTGTTTCTAGGTTTTTTGTTTGTTCGTTTTAGTTTTCTTAATCTACATTGTTTAAGGAGTACAACATGATGTTTTGATATAATTATTTGTAGTGAGTGGTTCTTATAGTCAAGCAAATTAACATATTCATTTTCCCACATAGTTACCCTTTAAATACAAGTATTTCTAATGGAATCTTTAGCATCTTACAAGGAGAGGCATTTTAGAAGGCAGCAACTGTTACCTGTTGAGCCGCACATCATTGACAGCCATTTCTCTTTGCTGTCTACGTTTGCACTGCTTGTTCAGTAGAAATCACCTTAGAAACACATGTACTTCTTTAGAACAATGTTTAAATTGTAATTTCTTACAAGAGGTATACTCTCAAACATCTTCGGTGTTAAAACACTGGTTAGCGGGTAATTTGGTTTACTCTCAGGGCAACTTTAAAGAAAATGCAAGTCATTAAGAATTATTAAAAGAAAAAGGAAATACTAAGCATTTGTCTTTCTTTACAGATCGAAGAAGAAAATAGCAGTGATCAGCAACAAGTTTCTTATGGAGAAAGAGGGGATGAAATCTTGTCTCAGCACTCTTCCGAGGAGGCCAGATCCAGAGTCACCTTGTGTTGAAAATCTTAATAGTATGCGGTGCAACAGAAATATATTCCCGAAATATATTTCTACTTCAAACCCACAGACTTCAAATAACTGGAAGTATTTGTAAGAATTTCTACTTCAAACCCACAGACTTAAAATAACTGGAAGAACTACTTGACTGAGGTTAGTTATATTATCCTTTCTCTTTTGTGTTTCATTTCTGGAATATAATTCTTGTTTTTAATTTGGCAAAATATTGAGTTGTTCTGTTGGCTTATGCATGTTAAGTAAAGATCATAATTAGCTGTGTTAACACAGAAAGAAAACAGGAACTTTACATTTTTTAATTCCCTGGAACTCTCATTCTCAAGAGATACCATTCTCAAGAGTTTACTAACTTTATTCAATACATGTAAATAACTGACACATTAAAAATTTCTTTAAAAGCTGCATTTAAGTTAGGTTTTAGAAATTGCGTGTTTTACCGAATAACTGGAGGTATACAGCCTCACTCTGTCACCAGGCTGGAGTGCAATGGTGCAATCTCAGCTCTCTGCAATCCCTGCCTCCTGGGTTCAAGTGATTCTCCTGTCTCAGTCTCCAGAGTAGCTGAGACTACAGGTGCCTGCCACCATGCCTGTCTAATTTTTGTATTTTTAGTAGAGATGGGGTTTTACCATATTGGCCAGGCTGGTCTCGAGCTCCTGACCTTGTGATCTGCCTGCCTTGGCATCCCAAAGTGCTGAGATTACAGCCGTGAGCCACTGTCCCTGGCTCATACTACTTTTAAAGTTTCATTGCACCATTTCAACTCTTCCCACCCATAATCACAAGTGAATGATTGGCATTGAAACACTTTTAACCACAAAAGAATGTTTACTATTTAATAGAATCCAAAATAATTGCATTTTATAAATAAAACACTAAAAGGGTCATTTCCATTTTTATGTTAAAAGCTTTGTGCTTGGCCAGGTGTGGGGGCTGATGCCTATAATCGCAGCATTTTGGGAGGCTGAGGCAGGTGGATCGCCTGAGGTCAAGAATTTGAGACCAGCCTGGCCAACGTGATGAAACCTTGCCTCTACTAAAAATACAAAAATTAGTTGGCCATGGTGGTAGGTACGTGTAATTTCAGCTGCTTGAGAGGCTGAGGCAGGAGGATTACTTGAACCCAGGAGGCAGAGGTTGCAGTGAGCCACTGAGATCATGCCACTGCACTAGAGCCTGGGTGACAGAGGGAGTCTCCATCTCAAAAAAAAAAAAAAAAAGCTTTGTGCTTTTCTTACATAACAATATCTCCTCGGACTATAAAAATCCTGGAAGAAAACCTAGGAAATGCTATCTTGGACATCGCACTTGTCAATTAAATTATGGCTAAGTCCTCAAAAGCAATTGCAAGAATAACAAAAATTGACAAGTGTGATCTAATTAAGCTAAAGATCTTCTTCATAGCATGAGAAACTGTCAAGGGATTAAATAGGCAGCCTAAAGAATGGAAGGAAGTATTTACAAACTGCATATAGCAAAGGCCTATTTTCCAGGATCCATAAGGGACCTAAACAAATTAAGAAGCACAAAATAAATAACCCCATTAAAAATGGGCGAATGACATGAACAGGTGCTTTTCAAAAGAACACATTTAAGTGGTCAACAAACATATTAACAAATGCTTACCATTGCCAATCATCAGAGAAATGCCAAACAAAACATTAGTGAGACACCATCTCACACCAGTCAGAATGACTTATGTTAAACAGTAAAACAGAACAAAAGATAGATGTTGGGGAGGCTGTGGAGAAAAGGAAACACTTACACACCACTGGTTGCAATGTAAATTAGTTCAGCTACTATGGAGAGCAGTTTGGAAATTAGGAACTAAGAATGACCATTGGATGCAGCAACCCCATTACTATACTAGGGGTATACCTAAAGAAAAATAAATTATTGTAACAAAGAAATGCATGCACGTGTATGTTCATTGTAGCAGTATTCACAATAGCAAAGACATGGAATCAGCTCAGGTGCATCCAAGGTAGATTGAAAATCCCGGTAAATTAGAAAATTTCATATACCATGGAATACCACCACGCCATAAGGAGAACAAAATGTCCTTTGCAGCGACATGGATTTAACCAGAATCCACTATCCTAAGCAAACTAATGCAGAGACAGAAACAAAATATCCAATGTTTTCACTCATATGTGGGAACTACACACCGGGTGCACATTGTCATAAACATGGGAACAACAGACACTGGGAAATACGAGTAGCGGGGACAGAGTGGGCCAGGGTTGAGAAACTACTTATTGAGTTCAATTTTACTCCAAACCTCAGCATCCCTCAATATACCTTTAGAAGAAACCTACACAGGTAATACCTTAATTTAGTATACAAATGAGAAAAAGAAAAAAGAAACAAGAAAAATTTACTATAAAAAATTTGCTATAAGTAGAAAATAGAAATTCCTTTTTAAGAAAAAATTTATCGAAGAAAATGGATTAAACTTTTATAAAGGACAGAGTTTTGCTAAGAGTTTCAAAGCAATGCATTCCTTGCAAAATATAACTTTGTTTAACCATTGTACTAACAAAACACCACCTTTCTAAAATTATGTATATGCAATAGACCAGTATTAATTGTATTTTTATTAGATAAATTTAAACAGCATTATACAGATACATCTTCTATTATCTAAACTGAAAATAAGTAGAAATTTTACTTTATGTGATTATTTTCCTATTTAAGCAAACATCAAGTTGTGTCTAGTCACTGTAAATACTAAATGCCACATTTTTGTAAGTGATATATTATTCTCATGATAATGTCTCTTGTTTAAGAAACTTTTTTTTCTTTTACTTATTTTAGATGGAGCTGGACTGTGTAGAACAAATAAAGAAAGAGAAGTATGTTGCCAAAATGTATTAATCAAATTTAGGTTATTTTAGAAATAACGTATAAATAGCAAATGGCATTTTTTTTCATTGTTGGGTTAGTGGATACTACGTTAAGTATTTCTTTCTTATGTCTAATGAAAGATGTGAAAACAAAATCTTTCACCATGAGAAGTACACTTATGCCCCATTAATTCATCATGTTTCATAGCTTTAAAAGTTCCCAAGAAGTCTATGCATTTCTTTTTTTTCTGGCTCTATACTGTTTTCACTTTTGCCATCCTCATGGAACTGTCACCCAGCACACTGAAAGGATTCACAGAAAATAGAGGCATCATTTGCTTCTCAGGGTTGTGGTAGAGATTGAAGGCCAACAGACCTCAGACTCATTTAGAAATACTTAGCTAAGCAATAAGCATTCATAAGCAGTCACTTGAGAGGTGACATTTTAAATGTCCTGTCATTTACTTTGTCCTTGGCTTACTTTTGTTCTCAGGAAAAGTTCCAAGTTTTTAATCATGGAATAAAAACACCTAGGTCAATGAGATTTTTGTGAAGTGACTCAGCCTTGTCTCTTGCCACTTACCATGCTCTACTTTTTTGCTGTAGCACCAAACTGGACAGAGTAGAACTCCGCAGGGCTCTTCCTCACCACAAGCTCGTTGCCTTCACCTCTTCTCTCTATCTGGCAAGCTTTTCCTTGTTTTTCAGGTATCAACCTACATACCTCCTCCACCAGAAAGCCTATGATATTGACACAAAACTGGGATAGATGTCCCTTCTGTGTGTTCCAATAGTGTCTGGCTGTATACCTGTCATAGTGTCTATGACTCTATATGGACATTGCCAGTCTGTCTGTTTTTTTTTAGGTTATAGCATAGGTTTGTTGAGAGGTGGACTGTACCATCTTCATCTTGTAATTTCAGTGCTGGTTTTAGTATATTAGCACATGGCTGTTGAGTACATGAATGAACAATGAAAAAACTCTGATATTTAACCACAAGCATAATTAGCACCCTGTGTAAATTATTTAATAGTAATTTCGTATGTAATCATACATACATATTTCTCATTCTTACTAACTCTGATAAAGTTCTCAACTCTTTAGTTTTTAAACTCACACTTAGTTAACTGAAATGTTTTAGATAAAGAACGTAACTCTTTATTTATCTTTCTAGCTGTTGCTGTGATGGACACTTGCTCCCGTCTACTTCCTTATCTATTATCCACTAGTTAACCGCATCTAATGAAGAGAATATCTAAACCATAAAATCTTAAGGTAAAATTTTATGATTTAAAAGATCATAAAACTTTATTACTGGGCTATTTACATATTTTAATTGTTTCTCATAAAATATATAACATCATAATCTTTGTTAAAGTAGAATATTTTCATATCACATGTATGATGCATATTTACATGGTATTTTAAATGAAGTTTTTTAGCCTCTTAAAGTTTTAAGTGGATCCTACAAATGAAAACCATGTGAGTTTGACATACTCAAATTGCCCAAATGTCAGCCATTTAAACAGCCAAACAAGCAAGTCATCATTGATACTTTAGTAAAGGTCATTGAAGGCTTATTGCATTTTACCGTTTTTATTACTCTATATGGTAGGAGACTTAAGGAGCACCCGCCAGGTTTGTCCATGGGAGTGTTACAATTTCCTTTTTGTAGTTCAACAGTATTTTGTGTGGAGATACTTTGAGGCTCTGTCAATACCTGGTTACTTCTCAAAACCTGCTAGTTTTAGCATTTCATTGATGACTTGTGTTAGAACAATTATTACTATGATGATTTCCAGATGATTATTTCCTTATTTTCTTGTTTGTTCTACATAGAAAAATAAAACCAATAAATAAGAGAGAGGGGAAAGCTCATGATTCTGGTGCTCCAATTCCCCAAGATTAGGCCAGTGGTAGACATTTCAAGCTAACTTTGTGTCTTTTTGATCTGTCCCCATTACTGTGTTAGCAGGTTTTAACTTTCTGGCACAAGATACTCTAAGCTAATCTTGTATTTTCTCTGCCCCAGCCCTGGAATGAGTGATTTTTCTTAGAAGCAGAGGTGGAGCAACTGAGGAAGCACTGGCGAGCCTTCCCCAGCACATGCGCACTGGTCCCAACAGAAGAACCACTGCTGCATCCACTGAGGTACCAAGAAACTAGCAAAGGGTCTTCTGGCTGTCTGGGGACAGTCCTCATGTGGCCCTTGACCCAGTCTTGAAGGTTCTGGTTTAGTCACCCTACAGCCTCTGTGCTGTGTCTCTGGATGGGTTCTCTGCAGGAAGGACCCTGGGAGACCCAGCAGCACAGGGTGTCTCATCTGCCAAATGTTCCTGTCTTCCTCCCTCTCTGACACTCAAGAATAGGATAGATGGCATGTCCAGGCAGTGCCAGGACACCTCACTGTCTCCTTTGAGATGGGTCCAGAGGGTCTTGGGGGGTGAGTGTGGAGTTGGGCACCTTGAGCCTGAGGCCAACTGTCCCTCCCTGGGTCTTGGAGGAGAGGTCTTGTCCCAAAAAACCCCTCAGTGCCTGACCTCTGGGCACACATGCAGGGAGGGAGGGTCTATGGGCTGAGGGGGACATCAGAACAAGACTTTGAGGATCCCTGCTCAGGGGCCTGGTCAGTGGACCATGGTCAGAGATTACCTGGTCATTAGAACGTAAGCAGTTAAGACCTGATCAGCAGGGGCCTGGTTTGTGGTGGCCTCCTCAGTGAAGGCCTCATCAGTGGGGACCTGGGGACCTGGTCATTGGAAGCCTAGTCAGTGGGGACCTGGTCAGGGGCACCTGGTCAGTAGGAACCTGGCCAGTTGGCCACTGTGTGACTTCAGGCAGGGGGTTTGTCTGTGGAGCCTCCTTGCCTCCATCTGCAGGGAGGATGAGTCGGCGCCCTGGAGGGTTGCTGGAAAGAGAATGTGAGAAGATGTGTTGAATCCAGTACTGCTTGGCAGACCTAGAACTTTACACATAAATTGTGTTCTACCTAGAGAGGGTACCAGCCTCTCTGCTCTGCCCAGTGCCCCTCCTTTGTCTGCATCCTGAAGATCACCCTGGGTGGGGAGGGCAGAGATTGGGGAGCACCTGTGAAGACTCTAATGCTGGCCCCAGGCCCTGGTGGTGACAGTGATGAGGACCTGGGTACACCCGTGAATGGAGCAGCTAGGCCTGGCCAGAGAAACAAAACAAACACACATGCGTGCACAAACACATTGCATGCACACACATGTCAGTTCAGGGAACAAAGAACACTGACTCAGCCCTCTTGACCCAAGCAGGCTCCTGTTGTGATGGGTTGTGTCACTCCATGATGTCACTGTTGCTGAGCCCCTGTCGCTTCTGTGTTGTGGAGCAGTTAGATACACACAGCAGTGTCTGTGATTGGCTCTGCGTGCAGGACTGTTTTCTAGGTGAGAGGCATATCTCAGCAGAGCTGACTGAACAGACTCAGGTGAGTAGGACCTGCTTTCTTCCCTTCCTCCTGGCTTGGGGACAGTTGCTACCAAGTGGGTGGTGTTGGCCTCTGGGCAGCTACTGAGGGTAATCTCTGAGTACTCACTGGGTGCCTGTTCTGTGCTGACAGTCCTCTCATTCATCCTCACAGCAATTCCATTCTGCCTCTCCTCAGAACACCCCTGGGACCACCCAAGACAACTCCTTCAGGGCCCTGACACCAGGCCCAGTCCAGCTCCTTGATAACCAAGTTGCAGGTTCAGAGACAACCGCCCTGCATGGTGCCTGCATCTCAACCCCCTTGGTGGGCAGTGACCAGCACAACATGGAAGAAGCCAGGGCAGGGTGCAGCCAGCTGTCCTGCAACCCCAGGGGCTCCTGGGCCTTGGGAAGACATTATCAAAGGAGAAGCTCATCACTTTGAGGTCCCTGGAGGGAAGGGCAAACGTGGCATCCTGACAACCCTGGCAGCCAGCAGCAAGCATACATCTCAGCCAACCTGTGGGACAGAGGACAATTCCTGGGGCACAAGTGTTACACCTAAAGGGTCCTATCCCAGTTAGGTCTCATTCTGAGCCCTGAAAGGGGAGGGGCACCATGGGCCCCCCAGCAGCATCCAGGATTACCATCCAAAGGACTCAGCCTTCCGTGACCCTGGCCAGACTTAGAATTTGGCCCAACACAGGACAACCTTACTCAGAGCACTGTGTCGGTATGTGGGGCCTGTGCATGCCAGGCAAGGTTAAGTTGGCTCAAAGACCAACCAGCCACCTCTGCAAAGGTGTGCCTGGACACCAGCCACCAACCTCACCCACTCAAGGAAGCAGGGGTGTCTAGGTTCCCACAGCTTGAGTGGCCACCACCTGATGGCTGATGGAGTGGAGGCCTGGGGAAAATCAAATGGCACTGGGGCCCTACCTGTAAGGCAGAATAACTGATTTAGCCTGACTAGCAGTGAGTGAGATTGGTGGCTGGTACACTTGCTCCTGGCACACCCTTGCAGAAGTCGTTGGTTGCTGTTTGAGCCAGCTTGGCCTTGCCTGGTATGCACGGGCCTCAGTGCAACAACTGTGCTGTAAATGGAACCACATCAAGGTCATGAGCTGCAGACTCAGGAGCAGGGTGTGTGCTGCCTTTGGGGCTCCAGTCCATGCATCAGAGCTCGTACAGCACTGCAGGCTTCTTGGGTGCCAAGAGGCAGACGACAGGCCATCTTGAGGAAGACTTCATGTCCAAGTGCAGAAAGGGCTCAATCTGGTGGATGGACCACATGGCCACATCTTCCATCACTTCCTGATATGTCCCACCAGCACTGAAGAGACAGCCTGGAGACAGGGCAAGAGGAAGGCTGAGAAGGATGAGATGGTGAGTGCCAGCTTCTTCCTGACCCTGAGCCCACCCCCAGGGTGGCCCTCAACCTTTAGGAGTGGGAAAGCAAGATTGATGACTTTGAGTGCTTCACCAAGAAGATGGACAACAGGGCACTCAGCTCAACTTCACAGCCAATGAGTTGATGTGCAAGCAGATGATGGTGAAGGTGCTTGCAAAAGAGCATCAGAAGGTGGCCAGTTCTTCAGCCTCAGCCAGGCCGTGGAGCTGGACCAGCCCATCTGCTTCACCAACGATGCCTTTATCACCATCAGTGAGCTCTTTGCCAGTCAGCCCAGGCAGGACTTGGACCCAGTCATGGACCCGTTAGTGCTTCTCAGGGACACCAGGTCAACATCCTGGACATCATCCACGTATACAAGAAGCCTCTTACCAAAGTCATGGAGAGCAGACAACATGTGGCAGAAGGGAAGACAGAGGTGCAGATGCTGATGATGTCAGGATCACAGGAACAGGATTTCTTTGGCCACATTGGCTGAAATTCACTCCTTCCATCCAATTTGAGTGAGACACTTGAAATCACAGATGCAGCATTTCTTGCAACAAGAGGTACTATTTCTTTTTTCAAAAAGTCACTCAGGAATTGATAGTGTTGAATGACAAGATATTTGATTGTGCGTTGTAGGAAGCAGCTTTGTAACTAGGGAATGGGCACAGGTTGGAAGAGTTTGGAGGGCTCAAAAGAAGACAGATGAGAACATTTCTGGACCATCTTAGAGATAAATGGTTGTGACAAAAATTGCTGAAAGAAACATGGACATTGAAGGCCAGGCTGAGGCGGTCTCAGATAAAAATAAGAAATATTCTGGAAAATGTCTTCCTTTTGGATATGCAAAGCTTATACATGCCTGTACCATCATTGCACATTGGAAGCTTTTTATTTCAGAGGCTCATAGGCAAACGAAACTGTAACCTTGACTCAGATGAGACTTTGGACTTTGTAACTTTGAGTTAATGCTCAAATGAGTTAAGACTTTGGGAGACTGCTGCTGGCAAGGCATGAATGTATTTTGCAATGTGAGAAGGATATGAGATCCATGGGGTCAGAGACAGAAAAATATGATTTATCTCTGTGTCTCTAACAAAACACGAGGAGTTATACTTTATAATGTTAGAAGTGGGGCCTGGGTGGAGAAAGATTTAGTCATGAAAGGGTATGGGTCGATCCTTCATGAATGGCAAAGCATCAACCCTTGATGCTGTCATGACAGTGAGGGAGTTCTCATGAGATCTCCTTGTTTATAAGGCTGTGGAAACTCTTTCCTCATCTGTCTTGCTCCTACTCCTGCTGTAGGAGACAACTCATTTTCCCTTGGCCCTTTGGTGTAATGAGGAGGCTCCCTGATTCCTCCCTAAAACAGAAGACCCTGCTTTCTTCACAGATTGCAGAATCCTGAGTCAATGAAACCTCTTTTATTTATGATGATACAGAAAATTAGAACTGCAGAATGGAGCTGTGAAATGTCTTCAAGGCCTTTCTTTCTTTGTCTTGACTATTAGCATAGGGCTTCTTTATATGCAAACTTCAGAAGTGTCCTTAAATTTTCCCCCTTAAATGGGGTTCTGTGTTATTGCTACATTGCCAACCTGCTATATAAATATAGCTGAAAAAGTAGAAGCAGGTTCAGAAGTGGGTAGCAAACAAAAATGGGGAGGGTTTGGAGGGATTAGAGAACAACAGAAAGATGAGGGCCTGGTGGGAGTGATTTAATCATGGGTGGGAGGGAGGGAAGGAAAAAGGAGTGGGTAGGGTGGGAAAAAGTAGGTTGGAAGTAGGGTGGTGGGAGGGTGGGGTGTAGTGGGAGTGGGGAGTAGCCTGCTACAGAGGCACAGCATCATGGAAAACCTCTACCAGGGCAGTACAACTGTGGCTTTGTAGGTTTTAGCCCCCACAGCTGCTCTCATGGATTGGGCTAGTGTTGAGTGCCTATAGCTTTTTCACACTGAGGGTGCAAACTGGTGGGTCTATAAATCTGGGGTCTAGAGGGTGGTGGCTCCTCGCCTGGGGGCTCCAAGCCTGTATTTTCCTTCTACACTGCCCTAGTAAAGGTTTTCCTTAAGGCTCTGCCTCTGCAGCAGGCTTCTGCCTGGAAATAGTGGGAGGTGGGGGTGAGGGTGGGGGGTGGATCCTTCACCCATTGTTAAGCACCATCTTCTTGATGCTGTCCTCATGATAGTGAGTTCTCATGAGATCTGCTTGTATAACACATTATGGCACCTCTTTCCTCTCTGAGTCTTGCTCCTACTCCTGTCATATGAAACATCTCCTTGCCCCTTGGCCTTCTGGTATGATTGGGAGGCTTCCTGATTCTTCCCCAAAGCAGAAGCCACTATGCATTTTTTACAGCTTGCAGAACCATGAGGCTATTCACCTTCGTACAATCATGCAGAAAATGAGTACTGTGAAGTAGAGCTGTGAAATGCCTACTAGGCCTTTTCCCCATTGTCTTGGCAACTAGCACTCAGCTTCTTGCCATGCAAATATCTGAAGCCTTTGTGAATGTTCCCTCTGGAAATGAACTTTTCTTCTTTTACCTCTAACAAAGATAGCTGAAAATGTAGAAGCAGGTTCAGAAGTAGATAGAAGAGGTCGGGAGAGTTGGGAAATCTTAAAAGACAGCAAGGCGAGGAAAGGTTTGGACCACTGTAGAGAATTATTAAATACTTGTGATCAGAAGGCTCACAGAAGAATGGACAGTGATGGCCAGACTTAAAAGGCCTTAGACGAAAATGAGGAATTTCCTGTGAACAGGAGCCAAGGTTACAATTAATTGACCTTAGCAAAGAACGTGGCTGCATGGTGACCCTGCCATGGAGATCTGAGAAACTATGGACTTGGGGGTGATGATTTAGAATGTATCTGGTGGAATGAACATCTAGGCAGCATAACTCAAGAAGTGTCCTGTCTGCATGGAACAGCCCATATTCTTATGTATGACCTAAGAAATGACCTCAAGCTAAAACTTCCATTTAAATGAGAAGCAAAGCTCAAAAGTTTGCAAAATTTGCAGCCTGGCCAAGTGGTCAAAAAGAAAAACTAATTTTCATGAAGAAAATTCAAGAAAGCTTAGGATATTTGCATAAAAAGGAGCCTACTGCAAATAGCCAAGACAGTGGGAAAAGGCCTTGATGGCATTTCAGAGACCTTTGCAGCAGCCCTTGCTGTCACAGGCCCTGGGGCTTAGGAGAGAAGAATGCTTTCCTGGGCCAGTTCCATGGCCCTGATGCTGTGTGCATTCTCAGGACACTGCTGCCTGCATCCCCGCAGCTCCAGATCCAGCTCCAGCCATTGCTGAAAGATGCACAGGTAAAGCGTGGGTCACTGCTTCACAGGTGGCTTCCACATAGTGTTTGATAGAGATTAGGACGGGCCGAAACACCAGGTGCTATAACAAGCTTTATTGAGAGCAGAAGGGGACCTGCCAGGCTGCACCCAAAAATGGCACCCAGTGCTTCTGGCGTGCCCAGGGGGGTGTTTTATCACCTGCAGTCCGGCTGATGCAACTGGTGTAGGGGGCTTGCGTGAGAGGTCAGGAGTTGGGGAACATCCAAGGTGGCGTGAGACGGGAGGACTTAGGGGACATCTGAGGTGGAAAGTCCCCTGGAGGG